GTTTGGTAGCGGTCAGTGAAGTTCGCTTCACGGTATTTCGCTGTACGATGATGATGATGATTAAAGACCTTGCAATTTTTCTTTTTTTTATTGGATTGTTTTATTGATTTCTTTTTGTGACTTTATTCTGCCATATTAGTAGCCTAGTACTTAACTGCAGGAAATCTTTTGGTGCCAAACGCTTTTTTGTATGATTTGTCACAATTTTTTGCCGTGCATATCCCTTGGGACACTTGATTTAGGAGGTTTGAGAGCATGCATCGAACCGATTAGTCTCCCAAATGTTTTTGATTCGGCATCGGTTCTGTTGGCATCCGATGTAAAATGTGGTCGAAGAATTTTTGTTCAATTTTCTTACTTGCTTTTTAAATATTAATTTTGAATTCATTATCGATCACTAACTAACCTTTAATTCCTATTCCAGATAATGCAAATGCTTAGGAACCCGAAATTTTGCGCATTTCCTCGTCTTTGACACAATGACCACGGTGAACGGGCAAATTTCTCTACTGAATAAGGAGACTGATGATACACCTTCTAAACGTGCCAATTTGACACGATTCCTGTTGAGTCCTTTCCGCAAGTTGCGCCGCTCTCGCAAACCTGGTGCACACACTCCCTCACGGTTTTCAGGTAAACGTCCGGATCCCGATTTCGATTCCGATGGTCGTGCAGGCGGTGGCATGTGCGAGGAGGACGACAGTTGTCATCGATCGGAACCCCTCAAAGTAGATACGGAACAACCGGGCATTAGATCAGGTGGTAAGTATGCATTGGTGTTTCTGGTGTATATTCTATGCGGTCAACTGTACAGTGTATCATCAATGTGACACATATACCCTGATTGTTTTCAAATTTTATCCCGTGTGTCAGAAAGACGAAGCGGTAAAGAGAACGATTTTGTTCTGAAGAATTGCAAATAAGGATGAAAAAATCCAATCGAAGCACGTCGGGGTATTCGATCATAAATAATCTTGCTGTAGACCCTGATGGAATGAGGCCGTAGGTAACTTATCAGAAAGCGTTGATTCATTTCGGAGTTCTTATTATTTATTTATTTTATTTTATTGTGTAGTCCAAATACAAAGACTTACCTCTTTGTATTTAAACATCGCCAAGTTGTGCGCAAACTTGCAGCCAAAAGGCTGAGTAGGAGTGGTATCCAAGTGGTAGGTAATCCTGTAGGATTATATGAACTCGATACCACCTTTTTCGGATCGATTATCGAAGTATACTTACTTTCCAACCAGAGTTATTCGAATAAAAACATAAGAGTACAAATAACAAGTAATAATGTCTATGAGGTGTATTACAGAGACTTTTGCTTTACCATCTTGAACTGCTCTGTTGCCTAAATATGTTCAGCTGGCCTGTAAGAGGTTTTGAGACTCTATCGTAATGTATTAGGATAACAGACAACGGATAACATATTCTGTCTGTCTGTTTCTTCTGTGTAAATGCAGTTTTAAAGTGTAAGAACCTCGGCCGTGTGGGAACTAATACCAATCAAAGGTTTTTTCACGGAGTTGTCGTTCATTTTGCTTTTTCGTTTTTGTGTTTTAAACTGTTCATCATGGCTCTTGTCGGACCAAATCCATGCTAATCAACTTTGCAGACTCACTTTGTCCCACAGTCTAACGCCATTGTGCATTATTGATTACCATGAGAAGTGTCGCAATTTTACCGCATAAAATCTGATCGTAAGAGCGAACCACTGATCTATGGCATACGAAGTAGGGTGCTGGAAACCAACAGCGGTGTTCATCGTGTTCTTTTACTCCGTTATTTATAGGTTTTTCACTTTCAGAGTTCGACGTACTGGTGTAAGACTGGGTTTCAGGTAGTCATACTTCAAA